TTTTATATTACAAATATGTAACTAAAATTGACTCTAGAAGTGCTAGAGAATCCAACCTATCCAACAAGAGAAATCCAGAAACATAATAGAGCTGCAAGGCAGCTTCCAGTTAGTTCTTTTAATATTAGAAGATAATTCTAAAACCAAGTAGAGTCATCCCCCCCCAGTATCCTAGAAGACTGGTTCGAGAACCTCCCAAAGGATACCAAAATTTGAGGACACTCAAGTCTCTCATATTAAATAATGTAGTATTTGCTTATAATCTATATATATCCCCCCATGTACCTTAAATCATCTTTTAATTATTTATAATACCTAGTACAGTGTGAATGTACCTGCCATATTGTATTATTTGAGGAATAACAACAAGAAGAAAAAGTCTGTATTATATTTAGTACAGATGCAACTTTCTCTTTCAGGTATTTGTCATCCACAATTGGTTGAATCCACTGGTGCACACAAAAGAAAGGTGTAAAATGATTAATCTTCATTATGATATTGATAGCAAAAATCTTAAGACCAAGTAAGGATCACCTCAGAAATACAATAATGATTTAGTCTTAAGGAGCATGATTAAACACTGTACTAGAAACTAAAAAGTGTCTGACCACCCCCATGGACACTAAGACTTTAAGAAAGTTAATACCCATATTTTCCCCCAGAAAATAGTAATATTTTCAGAGAATACATAGATAGCTTTTATTATGCCAATGAAAATACATGTCTTCATACAAGTAAAATTTTGTGACATTAAAATATCCCATTCATGTTAAGAACAAGACAAGTATGTCACATGAATCAATTACTTAACATGGTTCTCAAGTGCAATTGGGTTGAAGAAGAAATAAGGGAAACATTGGGAAGGAGGACACAAAAGAAAACCTTAGAAACAATGAGAAATCACAATTATGGTGGCTGGTTATGTAATTAACATACAAGCCCCAAGTACTTTCCTTTATATCACTAGAAAACAAAAAAGGAAGTAAGTTATTCCATTGAAAATGCTGCCATTTATCATTTACCAAATGGTAAAACATCTAGAAAAAAATAAGAAATTCATAGGACCTGTTTGAAAAACATCATAAAACCCTAAGTGACAAAATTAGACTTGAACATGAGCCCAGATTGCGTTTTCCTGGAAGGAAACTCATTACATCTATAAATTTCATGGGACCCAATTTGAAAAAAAAAAAATCCATGCATATAACGAGAAAAGAGGGAGAGGGAGGCAAGTGTGCTGTTGATAAGCTTAGAAGAGAAGGCAATCACTGAGATAAATCAATGGAACAAAAAACAAACCCAAACATTTAAGAGAAACAGCTGACAAATAAGGTGGCAATTTGAACAACTGGAAAAAGATTATTATTATATTACAAAAACACATGGTTAAATGCTTTACTGACACTGCTGATCATGGCTTGGAGGAAAAAATTTAGATCTTTACCTCTATTTCTTGCACTAAAATGAAACTCAGGGAGCCAGAAGATATAAAGATAAATAAATTAAACTGAAGTTTTAGAAGAAAATATGAGTAAGCTTCTTTGTAATTTCAGAATGGGGAAAGCATTATAAAAAACTGGAAATTAATCCTAGGATCTACAAAGAAAAAATACAGATAATTTGATAACATAAAAATTTGAACTTTCTATATGTCAATAAATAAGCAAATCAATAAATAACATCAAAAGAAATAATAAACAAATAAAAATGTTTTCAAAACATAAGACAGCAAGACCCTGATTGCAAAACAAACAAAAAAGGCAGGCTGGTGTGTGCACTAAATGTAAGAGCGACTGTGAGACCGAGTTCAAACCAGTACCACAAAAAAAAAAAAAGAAAGAAAGAAAAAGAAAAAACCAAATAACCCAACTGAAAAATGGATAAAATGAATTTTACAAAAATTAAAATTGTCAAAACATTGAAAAGATGTTCATCCTCATAGTCAAATAACTAAAATCAGAATATTTCAGTATAATTTCACTCATAGTAAAATGAACTAAAATATAATAAATTGCATCATAATTTTTCACCAGATTGGAGAAAAAAATCAAAACTAAGAAAAAGCCAGGCTGGTGGTGTAATAAACAAATAAAAATGTTTTCAAAACATAAGACAGCAAGACCCTGATGTGCAGAAACAAACTAAGAAAAAGCCAGGCTGGTGGTGTGACCTAAATGGTAAGAGCGCCTGCCTAGCAACTGTGAGTCCCGAGTTCAAACCCCAGTACCACAAAAAAAAAAAAAGAAAAAGAAAAAACCAAATAACCCAACTGAAAAATGGATAAAATGAATTTTACAAAAATTAAAATTGTCAAAACATTTGAAAAGATGTTCAACCTCATAGTAAAATGAACTAAAATCAGAATATTTCAGTATAATTTTCCACTCATAGTAAAATGAACTAAAATCATAATAATATTGCATCATAATTTTTCACCAGATTGGGAGAAAAAAATCAAATTTGAAAACATTCAGCACTAGAAAGGTAAGAACCAGGCCCTTTTGATTGCAGTCTTGGTGGGAGTTTCCGTGGATTAGTTTATTTAATTTTAGGATAATGTGTCAATATCTATCAAGTTTTTAAGTGCACATAGTCTTACATCCAGCAATTCTATTTCTAAGTTGTAACTTATACCAAGATCCAGTCACAACGTATGCTGTTATATATGCACAAGGATGCTAACTATAGATTTGTGTATAAAAATAAAATCTGGAAATCTGTATGTTCACCAATAAAAGACTAATTAAATAAATTACAGTCCACTGAGGCAATGAAATGCTAAGCAGCTATGAAGATGGATGAGGTAGATCATCCCTCATTATGGGATGGAAAGATCTCTAAGACAAAACACTAGGTGCAAAGTACTTTGCATAGCATGAGTGCTAGAAAAGTAATGTCTTTCCTCCTGCCCCCTTTTCTCCCTCTTCAACCTCCACTCCTTCCTTCCTTCATTCCTTTCTTCCTTCCTTTCTTGGATGCCCCTAAAGATTCATCCGGTGCCCCTGTGGGGAAAGAGAAGAGGAAGGGGGAGCAAGGGAGACTGTTTTTCACCATGTACACTTTTCTAACTATGTGCACAGCTATTCCCCATTACTATTTTGATAAATGACAGAATAATTACTCAGGTGGTCAAAACTATGAAACACTTCTGTTTGCTTATGTTTTTGCATACGAAATAAAAACCCCAAAAAGGTTTTACTGTAAGCAAAAAATGTGGTAGGGATAATTTGAGGCTAACAATAAGAAGTGAAGAATTCTATTAATACATTGAAACACTTCCATTTGGTTCTAGACACTTCAATAGAAAAAATGGAAAATATTGTGTGCCATTTGTCCATTCCATGTAGGATGGGTAAATGCTGGCAATGACCCTGCTCCAAATGGTAGCATGCTGCACTCTCCTGATTAAACAACCTTCTTGTTAAACACAGCCTCCATTCTTAAATTACACACATACACACACATACACACACACACAGGTATAATACACATGCACATACATGTACACACGCACACACAGAGCACACACAAGACTTCCTCTTTCTCCAGTGCAAATTGATGCAAGTGCATTGTCCTGATGAGTGAAACGGACAGCTGGAAAATGTATGCAGCTTCTTTTGCTCTGAAAAATCTCCTCTTCCCTCATGACATACCCAACTTGGGGATTAGAAGCAGATTACAGAGCTGTAGCAGCTCAGAGCCTCTTGAAATACCACTGGATGACACAATAGAACAGTAAAACTTTTTTTTTCTTAGCAAATTGCCCTCTGATTTCATATCAAAATAAGAGTGAGAGAAGAGGCTATTATCAGCTAGACTATCTAAGGGGTTTAAATATTAAAGTTATTCTTGTCTTCAAACATATCTCCAGCTCAGGAAGCTGAGGCAGGAGAATCTCGAGTTTGAGGCCAGCGTGGTTATGGAGTGAGACCTTATCTCCAAAATCAAACAAGCACCCTCTCCCCTCCTCAAACTGCCACATATCTCTGCTCAATCTGCCCAGTAACTTGAGTCAACTTTATGGACTAAAAAAGACACAGTGTATGTGTGGGGGGCAGATCACCAAAAGCAAGAAACCAGGGTACTTGCTATTTAGTCTCTGATGGCCTGACAGCTCCTCTCTACTGGCTGCCACTGGCACCTTGGAAAACCATAGACTGCACTACCTCCTCCCCAAATGCTGCCACTCATGGAGCCAGGGGGCCCCAGCTGCTGAGCTCTGGCACGTGGAAAATGCCAAGGAGTACACTCACTTTATGGTTTACACACTTCTAAGATTAACAAACTCCATTATATGTGAAGCATCCAATGTCTACACACAAAAACGTTTCAGGTTCACTTTCGTTATTCCTTTGGGCTGGTAATTATACAATCTCTTTATCTTTTGGGTTTTACAGACTTGCTGAACTCCTCAGTGTCCAGCACACAAAACTTGGGAGTCACCTGAGATCTTCAGGGGACACAGCCCCTGACACATACTTGGCTGCGTCTGGTCCTAGTTTCAAACTGACACAAAACTGTGCCTCTGATTCCACTGATGGTATACATTTTCAGGAATTAGTCAGGCTGGTAAAAGCACAGTTTACAAGACCAAAACTCTCTCGTTCTCCCACTTAAAGAAATGGCATAAAACTGTCATTGATAGAAAGAGAAAAAGAAAAGTTTAATTGCCAAAAAATAGCAAATAGGTTTTTAGTTTTTTTGTTTCTCCTTTTGTAAGTTAATTATTGGAATGGATTCAGTGTGTTTGTTATTTGTTTCAATCTAGATTTGCAGACAGGCAAAAGCATATGTTGAATTTCACGTAGGCTTTATGACAAGTGAAATACAGATATGCGAAACCAAGTGGACAGGCCTCCCCTGGCAGTCAGCAGCTACTGAGATCCCTCTGAAGAACTCTTTAGAAAGTAGGCAAATGGGCAAAATGACCACTTAGAGCCCTGCTGACCACTGCAAGGATGTGCCAACAGGATACATAACAAAGGGATTGAACACAAAGATGCTAAGATCCTATGACTGAAAGTAACCAGGAAACTGTAACCACCAGGACAGACAACCATTACAACATCTCAGAATTGTCACATTAAATGCTGCTGGAGGGTTTAGCTTCCCGAATTCTCTCCCACCCAGTGATTTTGCCTATCTTTGCATTTCTTATGTGTACAGAACCGGTGCTGCTATGCAAAGTCTTTGGACACAGCCTCCACAAAGTTTGGGGCAGACATAAGGATGCCAATCGTACAGATGATGGTGAAGACCGAGAAGGCCATGAGGCACAGGCGGTCCACTACACAGGCTGCAAACTTCCACTCGCTACACACCGCCTCACTCTCGTCCTGGCTGCGGAAGCGGTTGGCGATGTAGCGGACCTCCTCCAGGATCTTGGCCAGGTCTGGGTCCCCATCGGGAGGCTGGCCGCCATGCAGAAGGTGCTCATCGTGTGTGGGGGAGCAGGCCAGGCGGCCGCACACAACTCCGGAGTCCGGGGTTGGGGCACAGTGCATGCCCTCCAGGCCTCGGAAGCCAATGTACAGCAGGTTGCCATTGGTGGCCGGTGGCCCTGCAGCAGCACTCAGCTCCACACTGGCCAGGCTGCAGCGGCGAGGCTTGTGCTGGCAGGCAGGGCGGACCTTGTCCTCCCCTGGCCTCTTCATGCGCAGGAACCATGCACACCAGTTCAGAAGGATGATTCTGGTCTGCAGAGAAAACTGGACGTTAGCAGTGACTCAGACGAGGACATTAGCTAACCCTAACAGCAACACAACCCATACCTTAGAAGGCCTACTTCACTGATGCTGGGAAGAAACAGACTTTCTTATCATTCCAGCAATTTTATACAAGAAAGCAATACCAAAGCCTTATAAGAGTTGAGTCAATGTGATGTAAGAATAAAATCTATGCAGGTTTATCACCTGGGAACAAGCTAAAGTTTTCTCCAGAGCCAGAAAGACAGTCTGGTGTGACGAGAAGGCTGGCTTGGTAAGAAGCCCCTGAGCTGGGTAGACAGGGAGTGTTACTTTCTCTCTCTCTCATCTTTCCTCATCTATAACCAGGGACCTCAGATCTAACTCCCTGGCTCCCATACAGTGCGTATGAAGCATCCTGAAAGGCCACCACAAACTCCTGGGTGCTCTGGGAGATTTTAACCTGTGAGACACTAAGACCATGAGAGCTTGAAGCAATTCAGGCTTCCAACATGAGATCACCACATCCCTTGTGATGACATCATATTTTTACAAAACAGGTTTTAGAAGTTATTCTGATTAAAAAAAAAAAAAAGCAACTACCAAGCTGGGTGTGATGGTACACAACTGTAATCTCAGCCCTCAGGAGGCTGGGGCAGGAGGATCATAAGTTCCATGCCAGCCTGGGCTACATAGTAAGACACTATCTCAAAAAACAACAACAACAAAAAAAAAAAACCAAGAAGTACCAAAGAAGTCAATGTGAAACAGAAAATTAGGGCAGTGTTCTCCAAGCTGATTCCAAGGTTTGTGCTGTGGCCCATAAGAGCTGTGATGATGTTACAGCACAAATACTTATTCAAATATTTTAACCTACATACTAAAGAGACTGTTGCGTATTATTTCTTTTGAATCTAGGATCTCTGAAAACATCTGAGATATTAGCATGCTATGAACTAAGGCAGCCTAGGAACAGCTAACCTAACTTATTAGGTAGCAAGGAAAGCCAAATCAGAGGATGTCTGGGAAAGTATTTTGAAAAGCTAGAAGAAAGAGTGGCAAACTTTCTGTGAAAGGCCAGAAAGTGAATACTTTAGATCTGTCAGTCATAAGGTCTCTGTTGCAACCACTCAACTTGCTGGTGTAGAACACATAGAAAGTGTGTGAACAGAAGGGCATGGCTTGTTTATAATACATTTTAATTATCAAAACAGTTTGCAGGCTAGATTTGGTCACCATTGTCATAATATGCCAACCTCTAAACTAAAATGTTTTATAAAAATATGAACCCTACATGTATAAAGCAACTGGAGAAAAAGTCACGATGTGGGTTTACATTGTTTTTGCCTTTTGTGGAGATAGCTGATGCTTTAATCCAAGCATAAAGGAAAACATTCTTTTTTTTTTTTTTTTTTTTTTTTTTATAGCTTTTATTACTCACTACATTGAGGAAAGTGTAGTCTCTTGACTGATAATTTTTGTTTTTTTTTTTTTTTCCATTTTTCTTTTATTATTCATATGTGCATACAAGGCTTGGTTTATTTCTCCCCCCTGCCCCCACCCCCTCCCTTACCACCCACTCCACCCCCTCCCGCTCCCCCCCTCAATACCCAGCAGAAACTATTTTTGTCAGCCCATCCTGATCAGTAGGTAAAAAGTAAGCCCTTTCCCTAAAACCATCCAGCTATAGATCTCATTTTCATTTTGTTTAATGACAATGGGGAAATGTCATCAGTCACCTAGCAGGTGTATTTCCCATATGTAGGTAGAGATAGTGTAAGGGTTCATGTCTGCAGGGCTTTCTTTCTTGGTAAACACTTTTATGACATCTTCTAACGGATAAACAAAGGAAACAGGTCTTGAGATGAATTGAAAAGACTAAGAAAGCCCAAGACTGTTTTCACTGCAGCTGGGAAGCTAGCCCTTGGTTCCACAGCACAGTTTACACAGCAGGCAGTTCACTAGATCCTGGACAAGCCTGATGACCTTGGAGGCCTTTACAAGAGTAGTAAAAGCAGGGCCACAGGGCCACATGTGAAACCTCCTCAGGTAAGTTTGATCTCATGAGACATGCCATCTCACTGGAGCCATTCAGGGTTGTATGAAGAGCCAATAACTCCCCTACTTTACAGACAAACAAACTGAGGCTCAAAGAGGCTAATAAATTGGCTTAAGGTCACAGAATGAGCAAGTGGTTAAGTCACTTAATGTGTTTAGACTTCTGCAAGCCTCGTCTGTCAAAGGGCCTTCCTCAAAACCATCTGTCACATGGTTTTCTTCAATACCCCTGTGACTGAGCCCAGCTCCCTCTCAGAAGACACCAGAGAACCTGGGACAGATCTCACAGGAGGTTGTTGGGTAGTTGGTGATTGGAACCCCAGAGGCAACTGTGCAGGCAAGAGCCAAGCACTTTCTCCTGCCATGTCCGGGTGTGCACCTTCCCCGAGGCACCCCTCCAGCTACTATGACCCATGTTGCCAAGTCTACTTTGAATTCCATGGCCTGAATCATTAGCTTTCAAGGCCAAAGCATCTCCAAAGATGAAATTATCCTCCCAGCACTTATCAAACTGTGCCTGTGACCTCTTCTGTTAGGTTATAGTTTTGTTTCTGGCTGTGCAAATGTCACATAATGCCACCGCACTGGCAGTGTCTTCTTCGCAGCCACAGATCATAATAAGAGTCCCTGGGAGGCTGTTTATGTTTCGAATACACACAGAATGAAAGAAAAGTGCAATCTGCTATATAAAGTGAGAGAGATGTATATGCTTTATATTTTATTTGCACCCAATTGATGTTAACAGACTCTTTTTCTGAGAGGTTTATAATTAGCATATGCTCTTAATTAAGATTCTTCTGGAAGGGTAAAATGCTACCAAGTCATTAAAAATGGTTTTGTGTCTCTGTTTCTTAATTCCTTTACCTTCACATTAGTGAGGATACTTATAACAATGTGTGTTTATATTTTGTGCTAGCATAAACAAATAATGGAAGGGAAAAGAAAGAATTCACTGAACTGGTGATTAAACATTGGTTGTGGAAACAGGGTGAGGGAAAGGAATGGGAGCCAGGCTTCCTTATGTATAATGTTAATTTTATTTTGGCTTTTGAAATAGGAAAATGTATTATTTGCTTCAAACAGATAGATGGATAGAAAGACAGGCGAACAAACAAGAGACCAGCTCTTATGCCTAGTCTGGTACATTGCTTAAGTCAGGTTTATAAGAAAGACAAGAATGCAGGTGAATGTATGCAAATGTATCCCAAATTGGGGCTGGGGACTTTTCAGACCCAGCATTGTGGACGGCAGTGAGGCAACCTGTGTGTGAGGCATCACCGTGTAAACCGTAACTTGAGTTCTGGTTGGCACCATAAAGTGCAGGCAAGTTTTTAATCAGTGCCTGCGGGGAGCATACTATGAAAAATAATCTGAAGCCCGGTTATTACAGGCAGTGGCTCACACCTGTAATCTCAGCAACTTGGGAGGTGGAGAAGACTGAGGTTTGAGGCCAGCAGGGGCAAAAAGTTGGTGAAACCTAATCTCAACCAATAATAACCTGTGAGATGGCAGGTGCATGCTACTATGCCCCTGAGGATAAGTGCAAGAGACTCATCCCCAAAATAATGAAAGCAAACCAGGCTAGAGGCACGGCTGAAGTGATAGAGCACCTGCCTAGCAAGTGCAAGGCCCTGAATTCAAACCCTAGTAGCACTTCCCATCCCAAAGAAAAAGAATCTGAGGAGAAATAGTAACTTTGTAAAACCATATTTTTAAGTGATCTTTCCTGAGCTAATTTTTGGACAGCTATAAATTATTGCACAACGAACATTTTGTGGATGGCCCAGAAATCCTCAGTTCCTGTAGAGCATCTACATATATATTACACCTCACATGGCAGTCAGCACAGGGGTGGTTCCTAGACTCCCTTCTGGACTTAGATGCAACTTAATGTGTCTGTGAAAAAGGCTCATTTGAGGATGGAAGGGCTTCTTCCATCCTTAGACTATGCAAAGTGAATGGAAGACTGGGGAGGTCTGCAGAGCCCAAGTGAGTGTAGGAGGGGAAGTCAGCTCTCTCCTGCCTCATGCTCTGTCCTGGTGAGGTGGGAAAAGGTCAGGCTCTGGCTTGGCCCTAATTGAGGTCTCCTGCCTGTCAATCAAATGTGGGTGCAGAGCTTCAGACACTGGGTCCCAAAGGAGCAAATGCCATGGGTGTGTAAAGAGCAGATAGTCAAGCCAGGGCCTGGTGCTCATGGCTTCAGGAAAAGGGCAGTATGGTCTGGGCTAAGAGCTCAGGCAAGAGGACTCAATCCTGTATTTTTTCACCCACTTTCTTGTATCCACTTTTCTGGACTGGGATTATTGCCTAGCATGCATGAGGCTCTGGGTTCAATTCCCAGTACCATGAAAAAAAAAAAAAGAGTCCTTTTCTCTTCCCCAGAGATGACTATTCATCTTTGTGTTATAGGCTTTGGATTAGATTATAACCCCATCACTGCTGAATGTATGAATTCTTGCCCCACTGCATTTATGTATTCAACCAACCATAGGTTGAAAAATATTCATAAAAAATGTATCTGTACTGAACATGTACAGAATTTCTTCTTGCATTAATCCCTAAAAATTACAGCATAACAGCCATTTACACAGCACTTATGTTGTATTAAGTATTGTAAGTCACCCAGAGATGATTTTTAAAGTAGACAGGGGATGTGTATAGGTTTTATGCAAATACTGTGCCATTTTAGATAAAGGACTTAGCACCTGCAGATTTTGATATTGTCAGTGTGTTTTGGAACCAATCCCCTACAGATACCAAGAGATAACTGTATTTTTGCATAGGTTGTTCTGTTTCTTATTCTTTTCACTCCTGATGCTGTGGTGAAGCTCTAACCATGTTGTATGTCTCTCTCATCTACTGCTTCCCACTGCTGCTCAGTACTCCATGGTGTATATGCAAAACAACAGTTTTTAAAAACACTGTGCTGGCAGAATATACAGAGCATCTGGTGTGTGAGCCCTCCCCGTAATGGGAGATGAAAACACTGCCACAGAATGGACACCGAGGAGCACACTCATCTCAACTGTACCACTGTCTGAAGAGAGTGAAGATATGCAGAGAGGTGAAGTTGGAGGAAGATAATGCTATTTTGTTTAGGGATATGATTTTTAAAATAATCTATATGAGGATGTTCCTTCAGGGAAGGGCTCTGACTCCATGGGAGGCGGGCAGAACATACCCACTTGGGCATCTTGCCACCATCAGGGTCATGGTGATGGTACTGCAGTACAATTACTGTCACCACGACGGACAGGCCTACGATGATCATTGTGCTGGCGAAGTACTGGGCTGTGAAGAAAAGAGATGCAAGGTAAGACCCAGGCCCCAGGAAAGACATTGTCCTCTCACTGACTGTCTAGAGTGCTCATGATGGAGAGCGGGCTCTGTACCCCACCATTCACATTCCAAGTGGGAAGGGGACAGTCCAGAGACCTGACTTCCCACTGCCAAATGAGGCTGACAGCTCCCACATTAAACCTAATAACCACTGAATGGATGCTGCTTCCCATTCTCCCAACTGGCTTGGGGTTCTTCCTTCTCAATCAGAAACAGAAGCCAAGGTGCAATAGTGACAGAATCAAATCCTAACCTAGATGGAGCACCCCTCTGCATAATTCCATTTGCTTCCATCCAGGAAGGTACACAGTGACAGGTGCTGTCATATCCTGTTTCTGTCATCCTTATATTGTCCTGGGCAAACCCTTTTTTATTCTATTCCTACTTCCCCAAATGCTATTTTATTTGGAGATATCAAGTTATCTCAGGAAACAGTGGTTAAGAATGACAGTTTGTGCTTCTCTCATTTTAACAAAAGATTATTGAAAAACAATATCCAACTAAAATATCTTTTGCTCCAAATCAAGCATGAATGGGAGAATTGTGGGAGAAAGGAGTCTTGCTATATTGCCCTGGTTGGTCTAATGAGCTCAACTGATGCTCCTGCAACAGTTTCCCCAGGACTGGGACTACAGGTGCATACAACAGCTCTTGGCCATTTCTGCAACTTAAACATAAACCACAAAATTAGACATCTCCTTCTGCCAACTTGGGCCCAGGCAAGCAGTGGTCATGAGTCATTCTGAATTGTTCTAGCAAGTCCCATCCTCACAATGGACAATGGAGGGGAAGTACAGCTCCCCAGGTCATTAGAAGACATGGTCTGCTCTATGCATCTCCTGTGAGATAGGAGGCCCCCCTCTTTTTTTTTTTTTTTTAGCTCTTCTCTTTAATAAAGGAGCTGACTGTTGCCTTACCTATCAACGGCACTGAATCAGAAGTTGCAGGCATGATTTCAGCCACAAGCAGCATGAAGACAGTAAGAGAGAGTAAGACTGTTATCCCTGAAACATAAAGACACAGAGAAGTTCCTTAGACAAAACAGACAGTGATGCTTAGTGGGGGCTCCTAATCTGAGTTTCAAAGAAGTAGGTAGGTGCTGGTTGAGGCCCTGGGATGTGTGGTTTCTGTGCATATGAGCATTCCTTGTCACCTACTGGAGCCCAAAGGAATCTCTGGTGGAGACAAGGTTAGGAATCAGAACTTAGGGATAATTAACTCAGCACAATTATCTCTCAAGTTCTTTGCTGAATTATTATTGAGAGGTAGCTTCACATAGCAGGATAAGAAAAAATGTTCATTCAGAAGACCTGGGTTGAGATCACGTCTTTGCTCCTTACTAGCTGTGTGACTTTGAGTAAGTCATTTAACATTGTGAGCCTCACACTCAAAAGATAAAAGGTTTGTGAGTGATTTTTATTATATACTGAATATGCCTGTATTTGGGAACTCTTTCAGATATTGAAAGATTTATTTGCCATTCACAATCTTGCTTTGCTTGTCTTCACAGGGGAGCAACTGTAAGGAGCTACCTTCCTCACACAGTAGAGGATCACTGTACAGTGGCAGCAGGTTAAAAATGCAAGCTGAGATTGAGCTAAACTTCTTCCTAGTCACAATGGAGGCTGACCCCCTGCCACCAAGGAACAGGGTGGAGTGGCAGTGGGGGGAGTGGCCCCTCCCTGGGCATCCCTATCCTCTCTGAAGGAACAGACAATCACAGGATTCTTCTGTACTCTCAGGAAGGTACATCCATCCAGTTCATACTCAAGTGTCCTAGAGCTTCATCTGGCTAAGAAGCCAATGTGTGATGAGTCAAGCAGGCCCTAGGGAATCCCAATGCACCTTGAACAGTGAGCCCTGAAGAGCTGACCTCAAGGAAGGGACCCAGCACTTACCAAGGGAGATTTTCTCCCCAGAGTCTGCAGGAAGCAAGAACACTAGCAGGGCCAGGGCTGAGATGAGTACACAGGGGATGAGCAGGTTGAGGCCATAGTAGAGTGTCCTGCGACGCATGGTGACTGTATAGGTGACATCCGGATAGGGCTCTTTGCAGCACTCATAGAACTTCTCACTCCTCTTGCCTGGGATTCCTGCATAGGGAAGTAGAGAAAGGAACCATTATCAGAATACACAATTAATATATTAGTTTCTATGTATGTACCATGTACAAGCAGAGCCCTGGAGTTTGCTAAGTGGTAAAAAAGCAGGGTTATTAGTGCTTAAATAAACCCTTGCTGGTTTATTACAGAGTTGTTTAAAAGTGTCTCAGTGACACTTGAGCAAACTGGTGCTCTTCTGATAGATTGGAAGTACACAATTATAAATGATACACTGTCAGCAGCATTGTAAATGTAATTACAGGTGTGCATCACAGAATGATATTTCTGTCAAAGATGGAGCAAAGACATGATGGTGGGCCAACAGTTTGGGTAAGTTCACTCTATGATGTTCACCCAGTGATAAAATTGCCTAACAACACATTTCCATAATGTCTATTCAATATTAAGTGACTTCTGAAGAAGCCAAAATGAGGAAATATAGGTTCCAGTTGATTTAAAAGAAAAGAAAAGAAAAAGCAGTCAAAATGGCCAAAGCATGATCAAAAATAAAAAGAAAAGAAAAATTCTTTTCTAAGTCCTAGAGTTGCTGATGGGTGGTAGATTGCCACATGGACAGCCTGTCAGGAACTGAATCCGCCAGAGAAAACAATTTCCCAGAATCTAACAGCTCCTTGGCAAGTTCAGGAAGTACCAGAATGGCCAGTTTGCTTCCCAGCCTAGCCATTCCAGATTGCACTTGCCTCAGTCCTGCTTATCTTCCCCCAAGGTGCAAAGCTGCCTTAGTACTTCTTGCTATAAACTCAAGGCCACCTCCCCTCAGCAGTGCTGGTCCAGAGCCTCTCTGAATCTGTGCTTCCCAATTTGTAGATCTGTTGCTTGTATTTGAACTTTGTGTTTTTCTTGGTTTACACAATCAAATGAAATTTGCAGTCCATCCAAATCTTAGCAATGGACACGAAGGCACAGGGCCTATGCCAGCACTGCCTTGTTTAACAGGGAGGGACCATGGCTGCTACCTCTCTTGGAAAGCACTGCATTTGCTAAGTGCTTTCCATTTCTCACCCTAGAGCTCTCAGTAAATGATGGGAAACACTGCCAAGTTCAGTAAATGCTCATACTAAAAGGGGCAGCGGAAAAATCCCAAATTTTTTAAAGTGCTCACGGAAAGAAAGCAGCTTTTTCCAGGCTGCTAGGCTTGTTCTTACCCATCAGGTCCCATTCTCCGTTGGGGATATAGCTGCTGATATCTGCCTCCTGCATTTGCAGGTCCAAAGACCACCCTCCATAAGACCAGGACCCAAACTTCAGTTTGCACTGCTGCACATCAAAGGGGAACCAGCGCACATCAATGTAGCAGGAGCTCTTGAATATGCCTGGGTGGGTAACAGAAAGAATCAGAGGACTGAGATAGAAGCCAACTGGGATGGACTCAAAATACAAAGCAGTACCGCAGCCCATGCTGTCCCTTCAAACTGCTGCTACATCTGTTCTGGATGAACAAACTGTGTTTCTTTTTTTTTGCAAAATTTCTAGGAAAGAAACTCAACCAAAGCCTCCCTGTCATTTGAAATTCAAGCATAATGATGGACTCTATTGCAAAAGACTTCTCTCAGGCTTTCTGTATAAAGAATGAGCTCTATCAACCTGGAACTTTCAGATTCCAAATAATAATAGAAAAGAATTAAAAAAACAATCTCAGAGAAGTTGATAAAAATGATGAAGAGGCTGGAAAAAGAATCAGAAAGCTGGGTGGTGTGTACATGGTGGGATGGGTAATAAATTGAGAAAACATTTGCTTATCTAGAAATTTATGTGGAGGATAAATTTAACTAGCTTAAACTCTAGAGCAAGAACAGAACAAGAAAAAAAACTAAAAGAAGTATAGAAAAAAACAGAGAACAAGCACATAAAATGACAGGAACTCATTAAAAGAAAAATACTAATAAAATCATGGACAGAAAATTTCTAGGATCCTTCATTCCCAGGCTTTGAAGGTGCCCATCCAAGAGATGGGTCTTAAAGTTCACAGTTCACTAATTTCATGGTAAAACTGCCTGTGTCTGCAATTTATTATTAAAGAAAATAATGTTAAAGAATATATATGTTCTCCATATTCTCTTAAAAAATTGAAATCTTTATATATTATATATCTATTTTATGAACAAGTGAAAGTTATGGACTGATAAAAACTGAATTACTATAATTACTCTCATCAAGTAGGAGTTAAACCAGGAGTAAGGAAAGGTAGTGTGTATTTGTGCTTGTGAGAGTGTGGTCATCATTTTAATTTTAGACACTGTTTAAAATTTTGATTATTATGGTGGTAATGTATTGCTTTTTAATTTCAAATGCTGAAATAAAATTTGAGTGGGGAATAAAAAGAACAGAACAAAATCTAATAATTTAAAAAACAGTACTGGGATACAAGGAAGATTTTCATGGTAAAGACCAGCTCCACGCCTGGGAAAGATGGACATGAATTTCCCAGAAGGTCATAGGGAGGAGACTCCAGAAGGTAAGCCATTTCTGCTTTTTAATGCCCTGTACTCTTCCCTGCTCAGAGGAAGACTGGAAGTGGAAGGCACCAATAGCTAAGTGGACCACAGGCTTACAGAGTTAGAAAACGCTGAAAGAGTTAGAAAACTCTGTATGTATATGAAAACAGGCAAAAAGGATCTTTGCGGGACCATGGGAAAGTTTGAAAGTTGGATTATGTAAAACTAAATTTACTAAAAATACGTACTTAAGATCTATGATATAGATCTATAAAGCTATTAAAAATAAACACATGAAATTCTGAAAAAGTTATGTTATAATCAAGTCTCTATTTCAAAACATGAACCCAAAATACTCTTTTTTAACCATGTCTCACCAAAGTTGGGGCAGAAAAGCATCCCAGAACCATCCCTCCAGGACCCAAAGGCTCAGGCAGTTCTGAACCTTTGATGCTAGTTATTGTAAAGGAAAGTCAGAGGTCACAGCACAATGTGTCCTGTCCTGCTCAGGCTTCAGGGCCAGGACAGGAGCATCAGGTCCCAGAGGGACACCTGCCCTTGTGGGATCTGGGGCTGAGAAGGCTGTGCCTACAAAAACAGCCTCAGTCTTCAGAACAATCTGCAGTCCTTATGAACACGGGGGTTCTAAAACCGTTTTCTATAACGGCCTTCATAATGGAAGCTGCAACTTACAAGCCTGGTGAAAAAGAATGCAGGTGTGCTGGAAGCAGCCCACAGCCCATCTGCCAGGGGCTTGCTGTGAGGACCAAATGCTGGGCGAGAGAAGCCAGAGGGATCAGTTAAGATAGAAAACCTGAAAAGCTGCATTTCTTCAATTTGTATAAACATTATTGCGAACTATCTGTCTCCACCAGGTGCAATCACTTATTTATTCATTTATTGACACATGAGTCACATGCAACTGAGGAATGATAAATTCTAAAGTGAACAAACACAGATTCTGCCTATGGGATGTTTATCCTCTGCTAACAGGAAAAACATGTATGTAAACAACAAGCCAGAAGGCAAAGCCAGCTTCGCTGTGCACTGTGAGATGAAGGAGACGGCTGAGAGCTGGAGAAGGGTGTGTGCAGTGTGTGAGTGTGCACGAACGTGTGTGTATGTGTGATGTGTGTACGTATGTGGTGTGAGACCGCATGAGGGTATGTGTCACGGAGACAGTGGTGAGGTGTATGTGTGTGTTATGGCGGGGAGGGCAGTTGCAAATGTCTTCTGAATAGGAGGCAAACCAGACAGATGCTGTGAGGGAGACAGTTCTTGAAAAGAATATCTTAAAAAATCTTCCATATGATCAAAAAACCCAATGATTAATATCCATATGCTAAAACATCCCGAATGTGCCCCAAGGCCATAAAACTGTAGTTTGCCAAGCCTAGATTGCCTATGGAGTTAACCCAGGCCCTGTGAGTCCCACAGTAATGATGGGCTTGGGAGATGGAACCAATCCCAGAAAGCTGTTAACCACCAGAAGCCTGGGAAGGATAGAAATCAGTTCAGGAACAAGTCACTAATGGGCTCTCTTGAAAGCAGAGCCTTGCATCTAACAAGAAGTCTTAGTCACATGAATTCAAGACCTGGTCAGAAACTCCCACCATCTTCCCCAATGCCTGGATACCTGCCTAGATACTGAGTTGACTGGACTGGAAATGGCAGGTGGAAAAGGAGGAAAGGGTGTGGTTATTAGGCTTATGGGCTAAAAGGAATTGGAAATTACCCTGCACAGAAAATGCACTCTAATCATGGACTGACTTAAAGGAGCACATAGCAAAAAATAAGAACATGTGACACATGTTCACCAAGAGAAAGATGGCACCTTTGACTTGAAGAGACATGCAAAGATGCCAAGGGGAAGGAAGAGGGGGGTGGTATGCGCATAGCACAGAGCCAGCTCACCCCTCAGGTGGGCAGTCATTGGAACTGATAATAACATTCACTTAAATTTCAGAACTAGAGGAAGACGAAGGAAGTAAATCTTACCTGGAGGGAGGTACTGGCAGTGCCCAGAAGCATTCACCAACACATTGGTATGGAATGTGGCATCAAACCGCTCATCAGCACTGCAAACAGGAAAGGATTTCTTGAGTCAGTGCTACCAGGCTGTGGATTTCTGTGCCTTTAGATCTGTATTGCCCATCAGTCAGAACAGCACAGCTTTCAAAGGGATCTTGTTTGTACCTGGACAACCCCATACCTGGCCTGGGAGCACCACCATGATTCACGTGGGAAGTCTGCTCAGAGCACACCTTGGAAGGGTCCAATGTTTACCCCATTTCACATGAGCTGTGATGTTAATCTTGTATACAAACAAAGACCTTAGCCAAAAGGAAACTGCAAAGCAATTTAACAGGACATCAGCAGATAAGAAATGTCAACATATCTGTAGGAGATAAGGAATGGGTTTTGGCACATGGCTGCCCACACTGGTCAGTTCCACAGGGATTTTGATCTGCTGTGTTCAAAGCTCTACACCTACTCTCTTGAACGCAGGCCACACTTTGCTGGTGATTAACAGATGTATCCTGAATGACTGAAGCTGCAGGTCAGGAGGGAGCTGGGCACCTGAGTGGTGCCAGGATTCGCAGTCAGTGAAGATAAGGCGGTGGGTAAAGACAGCAAATTAAGAATATTTTAGATTCAGTGCACCCTGCTCCCCCGCCACCCCCCCCCCCCCGCCCCCCGTTCATGTCCAAACATCCTGCAGCCAGGAGTTATAACTTGTATAAAGGTGTAACTCACCTTGGATATGCACCCACATACATACCAGGAAAAAAAAACACAATAATTAAAACTAACAGTCTTTGTTTGATATCTGCAGCAAGAAACTGCTCTCCTAGGATTAGTCAATTCCTAGAGACAGCAAACAACTCCTTTAGGAGTTCTCTTCTAATATGAATCCATCACTCCAGAGCTCACACCCAAGATACCTGCTCTAGTAGGCTCTCACACTTGTGGCCACTATCCACCTGCCTTATCCACTGGCCACTTACCAAGGCCAGGTACTAGACAACTAGCATCAGTTCCTACCTCAGAGCCTGCTGAAATTATTCAAATTAGTCAATCGTAAACCTTGACCTGGCTGGCCTGTTCCTGGCCCGTTCCAGAGAAACCACAGTAGAACATTTTTCCTCGTTTCCTCTATCTCATGACCAACCCGTGCTTCTCCTGTGTCATGCATGATGTGTTCTGCCTCTGCTTTTAGAGAACTGAGTAGAAATGCTTTTATTAATGACAGTTTGCATGTCAGATGAGACCTGATTAAAACAAATTTCAAGTACCCTTAAAACATAGCTGTACAGGTAAATAAAAATAAGCCACCTCAAGACAACCTACACAGCCAGTCAAGGTACTTGCTCCACACAGTACAGTCCCCCTCCTTCTTACAAGCAGGGAGCCCCCAGGAGGAACTGCCCATGTGGACAGAGCCTCAGGCAGCCTGTTCTATACCTGCTGTCCTCTCAATAGAAGTTCAGAAGCACAAGATGTTAGTGTTCAGTCTCTACCATGAGGCACACAATCAAGGATTGACATCTTTAAAAAGATCTGAAAAGAAACTGCCCATGAAAAGAACGAAAAAATTATTTCTTGCAAAAGTAATATCCTCCCTGAAATTCAAGAGGATATTACAATTAGAAAAACAATGTGGATATTAAAGCTATGATTAATGAAATAATTTTCTATAACTGGTAGGAGGTTAAGCTGATAAACACCACAGAGATAACAAGTAAGGCAGAAATGATGCATAAAACACAGAGGACAAGGCCAGCAGAGCTCACGTCACTAACAGATGCTCCGTCAGAAGACAATGGGGGAGAGTGGGAGGGAGGAGATCACCAAAGAAATCATACAAAGAAATTCTCTAGAGCAGAAAGAAACCATTCAAGCATGAAGGTGAAGAAAGGCATTATCAAGAACATGATGGTCTCAGAGAGCTAGTTTTCCACTTACATGTCCTTGGTCAGTTTCATAAAAAAGAGAGCAAAAACCAAGAAAGAAGAAATAAACTTTCCAACAAAACTGAGGATGGAGAACAGGGATCAACATGATTTGTGCAGTGGGCTATAAAAGGGTGTGTATGTGTGTGTGTGTGTATGTGTGAGAGAGAGAGAGAGAGAGAGAGAGAGAGAGAGAGAGGTAGTTGGATCTCTGAGAGAGATCAGAGATACAGAGCAAGAGAGGAAAAAAATGACTGGGAAATGTCATGGATTTGATTAAAGACACATTAAAAAAGTCTTACAAGAAGAAAAAAAAACCTAGAAACTTAAGGGGAAAAGTACACAAGGAAGTTGTGATTGAGTATGAAACAAAAGTGTGATGTAGTTTACAGGAAAGGAAGGAGGGAGGACGCTAAGTCATCATAGAAGGACAGTCCACTGAGACAATACCTCCTCACATCCAAACACCCACAGGGAGAGACAGAGGTGGACATAGGACAAGGATATAAATATTCTTCACTTGACTATCGTCTAAATCTGACTGTGTAAATGAGTCACATTATAAACAGTAACAGGGAGCAGAACAGTTGAAACTGCAAACGTTCCACAAACTCACCCAGGATAGTACCATGATTTTCAAACTGGGTTCTTTAGATTCCCAAGATTCAATGGAGGTGCTTGAGGAGTTCAGCAAATGTTAGATTCCAATATTTTCTTTTCTTTGTACTTGAAAATGGTAACAAAAGTGAACACATACTCAAATAGCTGGATATAAAATTTTAACTCTTCAGAAACTACCAATGTATTTACCTGGGTGGTCCATTTTCTTCCCTTTTGGGTGAAAGTAAAACTAAAATTTCTCTTGCCATAAACATATTTGTGTTTGAGTCTCTTGTCAATGAGTTAACACCTAAGATTTCTGCTTTGTATTGCTCTTTGTAAAAAATCCACCTTTGCACTATAATTACCCCATGGTGAACCTGGTAGGCCTTTGTATGTGGTCCTGTCACTGTCTGTGCCCATGGCAACAACAGAAAGTGTGGTCTGATACATGCTGTAAGACATGTGTATTTTAGGATTTTTTTTTCTGACTGATTTTTATATTTATAATGAGTACTATGAGCATATGTTAGATTAGTGATTCAACTCTGTAAAAGAAAAAAAAAGTTCCTACATGATTTTCCTGTAAGTATTTAGATCAAATCCAATTGAAGAGATTGTCAAGATCACAAGGGGAATAGGTGAAAAATAAGATAAAAGGCTGTTGCCATTAGCAACACTTACCTGTGTGACTCCCGTGACTTCTAAATACTGTTCATCCAAACAGAATATTGAGATACACAGGATTGTAACGCTGCAGTTGTTATCAAAACTCAAATCACAGAATTCATGATGGCAGCTTTCGGATTCTTTACCACAGGCAAGTAGATTTTATCAACAAATAATACATAAATAAACACTATGTAATGTATTTGTGCTAATACCACTTTATCTATTTTGAACATTAGGGCTGAAGATAAGATTGATTTGAAAAGGGGCCCTGTTGCAAAACACTGAGTTTGAAAACAGCTCTCCAAGGCAGGAAATAAAGTCCTTCTGAGAGCTTGTTTAGTGATTCTCATAGGGGAGCACATCAATTCATATAACCTTGACCTAAGAATTGTCCTCCTCTAACAGGGAAGGTTGTCCTGTTTGACTGGGCATGTAGCCCTGGGAGGGATGAACTTGGAGTGGTGAGGAAGGACGGGAACACCTGCTTTGGCAGCCAGATCAAATCAACCCTGGCAATCAATGTGTGACAGATGTCACAGCCAGACTGCTCTCATCTCCAGTGAAGTCCCTCTGAAATGCATGTGTCCAAAACCACTCAAGGACCTTGGTGGCTACAATGTCAGTGCAGTTTACCACATGGTCTAGTCTTGTGCATGTAGGGATAACCAGTGGATGCCAGCACACAGCGACCACACCAACAATGCCATGTAATCATGCTGCCTAGCAAGCAGCTGGCAAATACTGCTAACCATGGAGGCGGGATGGATCCATGGGGATTCATCTCATTCCTCTCTGCTTTGTGTGTATTTAAAATTTTCCTAATTCATTTGAAAATGGTTAGATCTCTTTTGTTTGGTGTTTTTCTCTACTACTGGAAGACATGATGGATTTGCAAAGTTCTGAGGATGCCAGACAAGGTCCCTTAGGCCTGTCAAGAGCTGTCTTCTTCTAGGTGAGAGCAGCCAGTGCTGACAGGTGTGAGAGCAGCTCTGAGTCCGCCCCCCTCCCACACCACAATAGAGGAATGATAAGGGCGAATTTTAACTCAAATATTCAGGATGCAAGTTCCTTGACCTTAGGGGCATGGCTGGAAGGAAAGACACCTACCTGTACAGACTTTGGAGATGGACAAAGCTCCTGCAGGTCAAAATGAGGTGAGTACACCTCTGGCAGGGGGACGAACAGGAATGCAGGATATTTGCCTGGACCATCAGCAGAATAAGATGCTACCCCAAATAGTGAGGTTAGAAAGGGGGCTTGGCAGCTTGGCAGCAAACATGGGGTGGCTCAATGCGATGAGATTGTACACTGTACTTTCAGGCATCAGTGAAAGAAGAGAGAGAGCCATGGGGCATAGGTGCAGCATGCAGGTTTGGACTTAAACCTTTTCCACATGCCCTGGGGTCCCATGAAGGCTGGTTTTGCACCTGCAAAGAGCTGACGGCCCCAAAGCAAGAGCCCTCTGGTTCCAGCCTCAGGACAGTCTCCTCAGCTCACTGTGCAGCACTGACCCCCTGAAGAAAATGAAAAGGGAAAGAGCCAGGAAAAGGGAAAGAAAGCTTGTCATCCTCAGACCCAGGCACCTAGCCATCAGTGTGAGAGCAAAAATTGGGGCTGCCCAGCCATGAAGGAGGCCCAGTGTAACCAACCCTGATAGGAGGGTGAACCCTGGGTGTTCACCGGAATGAGACTCTGTATCCAGGAACTGAGAAAGAATTAAAGAGAAAGAAAAGACAGTACATTGTACTGTTGCAAAAAGACACCACATGTGGAGTCAGATGACCTAAGGTCTTAGGTGAACCCAGTTCCATTACTTCTGAGCTCTAACATCCTTGGAAGACTGAAAGAGAGAA